CTAAACATAAACATAAACATAAACTACTAACCTAAACTGGTTTCTGTTAGTTTCTGTTTCGGGTTTTCCCTAAACTCGGAGTTTCGGGTCACAACACTGGACGTAACATTCTAACTGCGACGCTAATTTCTAACTAATTTCGATGTTATATATACGAATAAAATAAAAATGTAATACAAATAAAACAATAAAAATGTAAATAAATATGAATAAAAAAAAAATAAGAAATAAAATATAAGGAATAAATAAATGTAGATATAAAAAATAAAGATAAAGTAAAAATAGAAATAAAAAGATTTGGTTCAGAGTTAGGGTATTTCGACTAACAATTTAGCGTTAAATCCTAATTCTGGTAACAATATGACCAAACTTTGCTGAATGGCATAATGGCACAGCAATTCTTCCAAGCACCACAGAAAAAATTCTATATACCTCTTTGTGTATTATTCTTTTTACAATTACATTTATTTATGTATTCAATTATATATAAATGCAATCATTCTTCTAATTTCTTATAAGCAAACCTATTAGTTATATATAATAATTAATTAAAACCAAAAAAAATTTACACAAAAAATTTAAATAAAGGTCTATTTAAAATTATACATAGTTAGTCTATTCAGATCCCATAATATGTAACAATAGGGTTCAGAATGAATATAAAATCCAAAATCATACAAATATTAATGTGTTGATAAGAAAGGAGAGATAGTTGGCAATCCCCTCGATAAGGACGGAATTGGGGTTCAACCCTTCTATCAACACATTTAGTGTTTATTAAGGCATAGTCAATCCCTTCGGGGTGCGACATCTAAAACAATTTTTTTGTAATAAAAATTTTCAAGTTGATTTGATACCACAACAAAACTTATTATTTATGTTTCCCATTATGAAATATTTCTTTGAAAAGATCTAGTTACCAAGCCTGTGCATTTAATATTTGTTTCTTACAATTTCAATATTTTGTAATACTGCCTTTTATTAATACTTTTTAATATTAAAAAACGTTTCAATTGTAGCTAATATCTTTTGAGGTTCATGTTTATTGGTAATTTGTTTTTCCTGATAAATCTCATAAAGAACCCTAAATCAACAAAAAAGATCAATTCCCATCTTTTTAACTAATATTAATATAGTTAAAAAAATTGTTATCAAAAGTGGGGCCTTCAAAGTTTCCAAGTTTCTAAGTTTTTAAATCATTGAGAATTTAAGGTTAACTTATTAAATTTGCACAATAATTTCTTTAAAGTTATTATCAATTGTGATCACTTATGAATTTTCTAATAATAAACGAAGAGATAACTTCAATTTTAATTTATTATTGGAAGGTAATAATATTTGAAAAGATTGGCTGTTATTCCAAATTAGTTAGAGGCAATAAAGAAAGCTTGATCTTTAGCAAAGTCATAAGTAATCTTTAGATGTATGTTACTGAACTATATATTTTAAATAACATTAATATCTTGTGTATGATAATAATAAACTTGTAACTTTTTGTCTTGAATTTTTTCAATTCAAGTAAGATCAAAAATATCTAATTTAAATTACTGATTCTGATTTTGATGGATGGTAATGAAAATATGGAATTTCTACTTTTAAAGAATATTTCATCAAAAATTGTAAAAGATCAGTAAAAAGTGAAAAAAAAAAGTGTTGTGTTATAATGATAAAAACATGAATTGCCAAAATGTAATATTTATGATTGTTAACAGATTTGTGGCTAAACCCTGTTTGAGTAAATTTAGTTCTAAAATAGCATGCTTAAGAATATTTATATAACTAACGTAACATATTTTTTGAATTCGATTGGTCAAAAGCCTGCCTTTTTAGAAAGGTTCAATCTGCTTGAACTCTAAAACTGGATCTGGCAAGCAATTTAACATCTCTAGTTTCTCTTAAAACTTCTGGTACTATATATGGTAGTCTCCAATTATATTATTTTTCATTTGAAGATGATGCTTTATCAGATGCCCTATGAAAAAAAACCGCCTGAATATATATATATATGACATAAAACAGTATGAAACATATAGAATTCACCATGTGTACAAAAAGTATGGGAATCCAATACTAATACAGAAATAGTATTGAATCAGTTACAATAACCATGAGTGGTTGAGATAACCAGAGAAACAACTACTGGTTGTGAATAAAATCATCCTTTATTAAATATTAAACAAACTATATAGTCTTTTTTACTAAATGTTAAATATTTTATTCTCTCATATTCTATTCTTTAGAAATCAATAATGAATAATGCTCTTGGATCAAAATTATTTACCCACTTGAACCATTTTTTTAATAGTTTGAATAATATCTTGAGGTGAATTGACATGCCATCCAGCTGAAGTTTTTTTATTTGCAGAACCAACCATTGTGCAAAAATAACTATCATCTGGTAAATTAGACTTTTTTATTGCTTTAAACATATCTTCATCTGTTCTGTCATCACCTGCACAAAATACAAAATCAACATCTGAATGATTTTCTAAAAGACGATTTACAATTTCACCCTGAAAAATTTTATTTATAATTTAATATTTGGTTAAAAAAAGAAACAGTTATATAAAAAATATATATATACCTTGTTTGTCATTGTAGGTCTAACCTCTAGATTTTTTTTACCCAATAGTATCTCAACTGGTAATTTGGGAATGATTGCACTTTCAAGGTGATTTTGACATTCTTTAGCTTGGAATGCTCTACATACATTTTTAATTATTAATTACGACATTATATTATATTATATAAATGGATTGATTAATTAATTACCCATATTCAGGATCTGCTTGACGATAATGCCAAGTAATTGAAGAACTTTTATGTTCTACAAATGATCCTTGAGTGCGTTCTTTATAATATGTGAATATCTCAAGTACATCAGTTTTCCAACTCATATCAATATCTTTCATAAGATTAATCCATTCATCACTTTCAGGACTTTTTATAAAACCACCATGCTCAGCACTTTATCAAAGCAAAAAAAAAATTTCAGTATGGATTAATAATAGTAAATATTTTTTGCAGGAATTACTAGGCAAACCAAATCATTCTTACCTAAATCCAATTTTTTTAATGCCACCAAGCCATTTATCTAATGCATGAGTATCACGTCCTGAAATTATCCAAATTTTATTTTTAGGATCATCTGCAAGTTCACTTAATCCTTTTAAGGTATCAGCCCCTGGGGCTGCAGCACTTGGACTTGTAACAATAGGAGTTAAAGTACCCTAAAAATAATAAATAAATAGCTTTATTATTATTATTATAAATTGTTTTTAAAAAAAAAATTATTTTGAAAAAAGTTTACATCATAGTCAAATAATAATAATCTTTTTTTAGAGAGTTTGTATTTATTTAGTAAATTCTGTGTATTGAGAAATGGAACAATGCTTGATTGTTCTTGATTTTTTATTGATTCTTTAAGCTCTTCAACAAATGAATCTGCCCAAAATTGAGCAGTATGAGTAGTAACATGTTTATATAGTTGCTATATAGGAAAATAATAATAATTTAGTATAACAACAAAAATAATAATATTCTTGAAAAAAAAAATATTATAAATTAAATTACCATATGTTTTTCTTTTTTTTCTTTGGGTGATAAGTATAATGCATCATTGATTGCCTTTGCTACACCATTGTAATCCCAAGGATTAACCATAATTGAAGCATCAAGCGATCCTGCCATTCCAGTGAATTCACTTAATATCAAAGATCCATGATTTTCTTGTTGACACACTATATACTCCAATGAAGTAGTATTCATTCCATCACGAACTGATGTTATAAGGCCTATATCTGCTACACTTAAAAGTGCATAATATTCATCCTGAGCAATATTGTTGTGATAGTGATGTACAGGTGTGAATTCTAATGAGCCATATTTGCCATTTATATTAGCAATAAGTTCTGAAACTTTGCGCTCTAATTTTGGTGAATCACTAAGTGCTGGTGTAGTGACTTGAATTAAAACTACCTTTATGTATGAGAATTAAAAACAAAAGGTTGTATTAAAACAAAGTTAATGATTTACAATATATAAAAAAATTGTATTACAGACTTTATTATGCCATTCTGGATACAGTGATAAAAAATTTTCAAAAGCATCAAGTTTTTGAATAACACCTTTGGCTAGATCTAATTTATCTCTACCAACAATGATCTTCTTATCAGCATATATTTCTTGGATCAATGACATTTTTTTCACAACATCAGTGAGCTTTCTATTTAGAATTTAAGCAAAAAAAAATATTAATGATTACATAATTACAGTTTTACTTTTTGTTATTAATATTCTTATAATAAATGTTAACTACCTCTCTTTTTCAACTTTTTCAATATCAATCCCAATTGGGAATGTCCCTATAGTTACTATTGAATCTCTTGCATCAATAGTGCCTGCTATATACTTATCTTCACTGGTTTCGCCACTTTGTGTAGATTCATATCCTAAAACACGAGTACAACTACTTATAAAATGTTTTGAATATGAATATGTCTATATAATAATAATATAAAGAATATTAATATATATAATCAATTATTATTAAATTTAGATAGATGATAAAATAATTGATAACCTGGAATCCTATTTGATTGGCGCCTAACATTCCATTCAATATTTCATTCCTTTCTAAATTTTAAATCAATCAATGTATACAATTAATTCTTATGGCCAAATATCATCTGCATCATATAATAATATATATATACTATACAAACTTGGTAAACATCGAAAAACTTCAGAACTAGGAAATGGTGCATGAATAAAAAGTCCGATTATTATTTCAGGAAGCTTTTCACGTAACATTTGAGGAACCAGCAAAAGGTGATAATCATGAACCCATACTATAAATATATAATGTATAATATATATTTATCAATGTTGTGTGTGTCATTAAATTTTTTGAAAATTTACATGCATTATTATATACCTAAGTCACCAGGTCTATATATTTCCATAATTTTTTCAGTAAATCGTTGATTGACCTTTACATAATTCGTCCAATTGAATGCTTCTATTCTACCATCAGTGGCAGAGTCCCATAAAATATAATGAAACAATGGCCATAATACTGTGACATGTAAATGTTGTGTAGTTCACATGATCAATAATAATTTTTTTATAATAATAATGATTGATTGATTAAAAATTGAAAAACATACCAGTTTTACAATAACCTTCATAATGTCCATGATGTTCTGTATCATCAAGAAAAACAGGTACAATTTTTTTTTCAGCCAAAGTGTCCACCAAACTTGCTTTTAATTTATCTGTTTGACTACTTGGTTCAATATTTTTTTCGGGATTTTCATAAACACGACCAACAAAACCAACGTGATAATTCTCCCATTTCGAATCTAAAGAACTGATACCAGAATAAAGAGCAGAATGATCCTCTCGTGGCTTTAAATCCCATTGATATTTATCATCAGATACATCGGACAGTAATATGGGGTCATAAGGTATCATGTGAGTTGTATTAATGATACGACGAAACTGTTTCGTTGTATTATCGTTAATTTGTTCTCTGGCCATGATTAATAAATTATTTTTAAAAAAAAATTTTTTGTTGAATCATTCCCTTATTTTTATTTATTTTCAAACGAATGTCGATTAATTATTATTATAGTAAGGAATTCGCTAATAATATTTAATTATTTATTAGTTTATTGAAGTCTCTCGTCATTTTTGCATATGATTTCTAAATCTGTTTTAGTTACACACCGAAACTTATACGCCCGCCCCACACTGAATTTTTATACTGGTTGGAATCGGTAACCACGCTTGCGTTATCCTTTTTTTTGTTTAGAGTTTTTAGAAGCGATAATCATTCACCGATTTGTTTTTTGAATTCTCTTTTGGAAAAAAAACCTCTTTTTAGGAATCTGAGGTTTTACAAATTTCAACCATTGTAAAGCTCTGAATGAATCAATGAAATTCGAACCGACCAGATTCAATTTGATTTGAACTGATTTAAGTATATAATTTGATTCAATTCAAACTAGTGATGGTGGCCGAAACTACGCTGAAATTGCCAAAATTAATTGGCCTAAAACTTTGACAAAACTAATTTTAATGGCTGAAATTGGGAGTTTTTTAAAATAAAGTAGATTGATTTAGATACTTATTATATATAAACTAACTTTTTTCCAAAAATAGTTTGGGATCTTGGCTTGGCAGATAGAAAATTTTTTCCAAAAATTCGTTAAACCTTGTCACAGCGGACTATAATAATAATTAAATTCCTATCATAATGGATTTTTGCTTCACATATAAATACATATCAATATAAAATTTTTCTTATTATTATTATTATTATTATGTGTCCTGTCCATCTGTTGTGACTATATCAAAAAATCTGTTATATTTGAAGAATTTTATCATCATTATTATTATCCATTAAATTGAGGTACACTACATTGAGATTCGCTGTATTTAATATGACATTAAGAAAATTTTAGGAATCCAGTTTGATTCGAATTGAATGAAAAAAGTAATCTGATGGAAATGAAGCTTAGGCCTTTAGCTTTAATTATATCAGTTTACTTTTTCTTTTTCAATAAGGAGTTATAAGCTTTTAAAGTCATGTGATAATCATGACTGTTATAGACACCTGAAAATTCAAAAAAAAAGTTCCATTATTATTCTATTAAAAGTAACTGGGGTTTCATCATCTTTCTTATAATACACTTTATGATTTTGTGGATGCAATGCCTGGAGCAGAGCAAAAAAAATAGAATCAATGTCAGCCAAAGCATTATATATACATGTTATCCCTTATAATCCCAACCCTAGTCAAAATCTCTTTTTATCTCAATTTTTATTTTTGCTGTTAGGGCTGTTTTTATTTCCTGTGCCCCATATGCAATGTACTTATTAAGAAATCTTTGTTATTTATAAATTATTATCATATGTATGTGGTGGGTGTACTTATTAAGAAAACCTTTATTACTTTTCTATTTTTGTTTTTCTATGTGATATTTATCTGCCTGTGATATATTGTAATATACAAAATGTTCAAAAATAAGGTTTATATAATTGTATTACAACGTATGTACGCATCCAAAAAAAACCACTTGAAAATATATAAATAGATGTCAAAAAGAATTAGATTAATAATTTTATTTTATTTTAAAACGTGAAGTTCTTTTCGTTTATACATGATTGATTAAGAAATATGTAAGTATGATTTGTATTATAATAGAGTTAGAATTAATTTTGTTTAAAGAAACATGAATTATTATTTTTGAAATCGTAGAAAAAAAAGAAACATTAAATTCTAAAAAAGGGAAAAAGATAACGTGAAAAAATGAGTGAGTGGGTGAGTGAATGAGTGAGTGGGTGAATGAATGAATTTACATCAGATATAATAATAGAGAATTATTATTAAATAATAAATAAATAAAACAAACAAAAATTAATTAATTTATATTATTATTATTAAAAATTAAAAAAAAATCTATTGCTATAATTAAAAAAGTTTCAAAATTGTGTGAAATTAAAATTTACAGAAATTAAAAGTTTTCTAATTATAATAATAACAATAATATGCTAATATGCTAATAACATATTAATAAATTATATAATGTACTACTAACTAATAAGCCATATAATGTAATAATAATATAATAATAGAAAAAATAATAATAGAAGATTTTTTATTTAACCATTATCAAAATGAACCACGAAACCCATCAATGAAAAAGATCTCAATGTAAGTCCAAAAGGTATTTTTAGAATATGGGAAATAAATAAATCAAATGTATTTAAAAAATGTTTGTATATAATTGAAGGAGATGTAAATAAAGACGAAGATGATAACGATGAAGAGGAAGGTAATGATAATAAGGAAGAAGGTGAAGACGTGAAGGAAGAGTTAATTCGTATCTTAAAAGAAGAAGACGATAATTTTTGGTGTTTTAAGATGTAAAATAATTTATTTTTAAGCAAATTTCTTCTATTTAAATGATTTTTTCTTCTAATCTCATTATGTGAAAATGAATAATTAAATCTATTAATATTATAACAAGCATAATTGTTGACTTTTCTAGAACATCGTTCATTTATCAAAAGATTATATTTAAAATAAAAAAGTGTAAAAAATAAAAATAAAGGATCATGGAGTCAACAGATAATGCATTTAGCTGATTTAGGTCGCCTCTTATAACTTTCAATATATTTAAGTTGTCTGTTGTTAATGACTCCTCGTCGTCTTTCACGAATAAACGCAACACTGTCAAGTGGTGACATCCCTGCCTCGATCAATGCAATGGCGACTAGTACTGGAGCTCTGGTAATATTTAATATAATATTAGAAATTCAAAAAAAAAGTCAATAAATATTGAAAAAAAAATTTTTCACCAAATATAATATAATGATTATAACAATAATGATTCTTTCTCAATATAAGGCTCATCAGTAACATAAAATAACTTGTTAAATTAAGACAATTAATTTGTAGGAAAATATTTTAAAGTATTAAAGTTCAAATATTATGAACGGAATATTTTCTACAATTCCTACAAACGACACCGAGTTAGTTACTACTATTTTTTAACAAGTAAAATCAAGAAAGGATACAATGATACTGATCAAACTCACGCCTTTGAAGAAGAGTCATGATTATTTTGATTTACACACTATTTTCTTACCTTCCAAGTCCTGCGACACAATGACATGCTATAGTTGGTTTTTTATCAATGTCAGTAGTTTCTTTAAAACGGGTTTCGACAAGCTCAAGCCAGTCATTGACTATTTGAGCTGGTGGTGCTTCGCCATCACCAAATACCCAATCCTGAAAAAAAATTTTGACATTGGTAAATCATTTCAAAAAAAAAAATAGATATACCTTTTTTTTTCTCAGAAAAAAATACAATAAACTTACATGAACTTTTATTCCACAGGATAGAAGAGGCTCAATATGATAGGTAGGATCACATACTCGAACCACATCCGTTACATTGTACTTTTTAAATTCCTATAATAATAATATTATTAATGACAATAAAATAATAATTGTGTTAAAATAATAATGTAATAAATAATAACGATAACAAATAAACATTTTTTTAATTTCAATAAAAATTTATTCCAATGAAAAAAATTTAATTAAATAAAGGTACGTAATTACCTGTATGTATAGTGATAGATTATTGTTTGAAGGAGCATCTGCGATCAAGAATCGAAGATTTTCATGTTCGATTAAAGTTGGAGGATTAATAGGTGAACGAAGTTGAACAGCAACAAATGAGCCGGAGCCTCGAGTGGAGTTACGCATCTTTATATTATAAATTTAATAATTAACTGTTGGAAATGAGCAGCTTTTTTTTTTTATTAGGATAATAATAACTTTTTGGACCATATTGAAAAAAATAATTGGAAATGTAATTATGATCTGCAGATATAATATAAAAATGATCTACAACACATAAAAAAAATTTTTTCTCTGTGGCGCTTGTATATTACATTACTATACAAATAAAGAAACTTAATTGTAGATCAATTGTGCGTATCACATGTGATGTTGAGTGCTTATGTGATTGTCACATATTTATAAGTTTTTTTTATAGATAGATAATCAATTAACAAAAAACATTGTAATTTTTGTCATTATCTATAATAATAAAATGATTTTTGATTGATTTTATTTTTTCTTAATTAATTAATTTGATAAACTGATTATCTTAATTTACACAAGAATTTTTTTTTTATAAAATAATGTTTGTCTATTACTATGTATGTATGTGTAGATGAATATTATTATGGTATATTTATCCTTTTTTAAAAAGAATACTTAATATTTAGTTAGCTAGCTAATAAATGGTTACTGTGGTCTTATCTAGTGGTAAGAAATCAATTTGTGCTTGAGTTAGGTTTAGAACAACAATAAATAACAGAGTTGCATTTGTAAACCATCTTTATTAATGTTTTAAAAGGAGGAAAATTTAGTATACTAGATAATTAATAAAATTGACACTTTTTTTAGTTTGCTCATATGATTAATATATCTGGTTTGACAACTGTGAAAGATTAACAATTTCAGTGTCTATTACTGGTACCCAATAGCTTGTTACATTAATGGAGGTTGAAGATTGTTGTTGATTGTTGCATTAGAAATAGGTTGAAGACCATAATCAAGGGAATTGGGATTTTTTAAAGAAAATGCAACCATAATCACAATCAGCAATTGGTTTATTTGGATATACAATACAAAGAAGTTGAATGTGTGATTCATTGAATTTTTAAGAGTAAATTGTTGAGAAACATTTGTTTGAAAAGTGTTAACATCAGGTGACAGTGTTTGTTGCTGTTGGTGTTGAATTAGATGTAGTATATAGTCGTTATTATCTGTGCAGCCAACTCTTGGCTGACTTTAACATTATTTACTGCAAAATCAAAATATCTATAAATTTATATTTATTCAGTCAAAGTTCGTTATAATTGACACTCAAACACTCGATTCCAGACATCTTTGTCCACTATAAAGAAAAATCTGTTTATAGTGAATGGACTTTTATAAATAAATTGAAAAGGTC